TTGGACAATCCACGGCAGTGACTGCAGACACTGGTTCTTTTGGGACCACTTTGGGGTTGTTTTTGTTTTAATTTTGTTTTGTCTTGTGGGGGTTTTTTTTTCGGGGTTTGGGGAGAGGGGGTGGTGAGGTGGTGGTATCTTGTGTGGGTTTTTTTTTGTTTTTTTTGTTTGGAAGAGGTTGGCTTTTGGAGTAAGGGGGGTAGGGGAGGCAGGAGATGGCTGAACGTGTCTTGTTGTTAACCTTTTCCAGATCAGCTGGCGAACATTCGAGAGACAACGCTGGCGTCTGTAATGTGTGAGAACCTGAGGATTCCTCAGCTGCCCGAGAACGTGTTCATCCAGGCTTCCAACAAGTGAGTTAGTCTGTGAGGTCATGGCAGCTCGTGCCTCGTCTCTTCTACAAGTGTAGCTGTCTTACCGTCCCTCTGGTCTTACCCTCACTTTGGTCTTACCCTCACTTTGGTCTTACCCTCACTTTGGTCTTACCCTCACTTTGGTCTTACCCTCACTTTGGTCTTACCCTCACTTCACTTTGATCTTACCCTCCCTTTCGTCTTACCCTCAGTTTGGTCTTACCCTCACTTTGGTCAACTCAAATATTCTTACTCTCAGTTTGGTCAACTCATCTATTCTTACTCTCAGTTTGGTCAACTCATCTATTCTTACCTTCAGTCCGGTCAACTCATCTATTCTTACCCTCACTTTAGTCAACTCATCTATTCTTGCCCTCAATACATTCTTTGGTCAACTGATACTAGTGATACATTCTTACCTTCACTTTTGACCAACTCATATTCCTCAATACCTAGCTCTACAGGAAGGAAACCTGCCTAACGTTGTAACGGAAAGAGAAACTCATTCCTTTCACTGCAGATTGCTCATTCTTTCAAATCAATCACCTCTCATCCTTTCCTCCTCATCCCTCGTCTTGTCGTCCTTATCCCTCTTCCTTTCCTCCTCATCTCTCGTCCTGTCGTCCTCATCTCTCGTCCTGTCGTCCTCATCTCTCGTCCTGTCGTCCTCATCTCTCGTCCTGTCGTCCTTATCCCTCTTCCTTTCCTCCTTATCCCTCTTCCTTCTTTTCTTGGTTTATTGCTCTCAAGCAATGCATCTAATCTTTGGCACATATAGGACCTATCTGTGCTACAAATGCCGCAAAACTCTTGTCTAAATCTAAAATCCACTCGCTCTCCCTGCAGGAACAACAAACTGGTCAACTGCCGGAAACTGAAGGGCACCCTGGACCTCCGTCTCTTCAGGGAATAAACCCCGCACCCCCTCCCCCGTCTTCATGAGCTCAAACAGTTTGGAAGAACACCCCAGGCCGCAGCAGACATTTACGACTTTGTTCTTCCCGGGACTTTGACTTGACACATCAACTCCAGCCTTTAGTTCTTGACACATCAACTCCAGCCTTTAGTTCTTGAGTACACGGAAATGTTGGTTTGTCTTGAGCATGGCCACCAAGCCAGCAGATTTCTATTTGGTCGGGACTCCAGTAGTCGATAAGATTTACCAAAAAAAAACCTTTCTCAATCTTCTACAACTTTGAAAGTAACATGATTGTTTCCTTCGTTCAAAAATAAAGACAAACTGGTAACCTTGAACTTTTGAGTTGAAAGGTATATTCTTTATACATTTTTTTTCGTTTCGTTGAAAAAGTCGCCAACACAAGACGGTTGGAGAAATGACTTGTGCTCTTTGTGACGGTACTTTCTGTGTGGCTTTGTTGGTGCAGGTGGTAGTCTGTCCGTACAGCTACATGTGGGTATGTTGTTGTTGTTGTTGTTGCTGTTGTTGCTGTTGTTGTAATTATTGTTGTTGTAGTCGAGAGCGTGCGCGACTCTTCCCCCTTGCCCTTCTCCTAGTTCTATAACTTTCTGTAGAATTGAGCATGGCTTGTGAAAAGATAGAATTTCTCTGTGTGCTTTGGGCTCAACAATATTACGTCCATTTCAAACACATTCCGGAGTGGATTTGTACTTGGGGAACGTTCATTAAAGGTACACAAGAAATAAATGTGCAGCTTCCAAGGATATTTAAGCTTTGAAACTCACCTAACTTTGGCGACCATTTTCTTTTCCTGACACCAGGCAACTCCCACTTCCTTCAATCGTAAATACATGTCTGTATTTCGGTGCTGTAAATACATGTCTGTATTTTTGTGCTGTAAATACATGTCTGTATTTCTTTGCTGTCAGTACCTGGCTGTATTTCTGTGCTGTCAGTACATGTCAGTATTTCTGTGCTGTAAATACATGTCAGTGTCTTCATTTCTACTCCAAATGAATTGGGTTTTTTAAAAACCAAAGCAAGGCAAAAGAACAGGCTTAAAGCTTTTCCCTTGACCGCCACACCATGGTCCCACCTTGACGAGCGCCTGATTTCACCGCGCCGCAACACAAGTTTATCAGCGTGTGTGTGGACCTTGTTAGTGTTGTCCAGGAGAACGTGTCCCTTGAGGTGCACTCACCCAGATTAATTTGTTTCACTTTCAAGAAATCCAAATTAGACTTCGTAGTTTAGAGCTGTGAAAAACACGGCTTTTTCTTTATTTGTTTGTTGTTGTTGTTGTTGTTGTGTTGTTGTTGCTTTGTTTCCTTTTAGAAAGGGGGGGAGGGTTCTTTTTTCTGTTATTATTTTTGTTATGACATTTCTTTACATTGCTTTCGTCATTATCATTCTAATACTATTGTTTTTGCCCTCAATAATCAGTAACATTCCAATAAAAATGACAATCTGAATCCTTTGTTCTTTTCTTTGACAAGTATGTGTATTGTTATGTCCGCAGTGTGTGATTGTGTGTGTGTGTGTGTGTGTGTGTGTGTGTGTGTGTGCGTGTGT